CCCCCCGTAGGGGAACATCCGGGATACGTGTTGATGGTCCCCCTCGGAGCTGCTCGCCCGACTACGGGCGATGACATTGCCCTTGGCGGCATCGGCCCGGCGGCTCCGGCGTGGGAACAGAAACCGGAGTTTCCTTGTCGCGGCTCAGGACTCCGATGTGACCCACGTGATGGCCCGGATCCAGGATCAGGAGCAGTGCCATCCCGCTGATTATGGTCAGGAATGCAACCAGGTCCTCCAGGTCCTGCACTGGGACCACTGTTGATCGCAGTACTCATCCTTGCATATGAGACACGTCACAAGTCCGTGTCTCCCTCCTCTTCCTCTGCATGCGCGACATCTAGGAAACTGATCGCTACATTTGAAGCACGAGTTACAATCATGATCAAAGCAGTCTTCGCAGACTGACTTGCCGCAGTTTCGGCATGGATAGCGAGGTTCCCGATGCTGTGGATGCCCAGGCTCCTCGTGAGCACATTTGGCCCGGTTATCAGGGGCAGCACCGGCAGCCCGAGCAGCAGCCCTCGTTCTAGAGGGATCCCTGCCAAAAACGGGGGCCGATGGTGACGGTGGAGGTGGCCCTGAAGGAGGAGGTGGAGGAGGTCCTGTCGAGCTGACGATGCGAGCATCGCGAGGAGGAAAACCTCTAGGAGCTCTTCCCTGGGTTAAGGGATCCGTGTCTCCAGATATCTCCCAGGACTCCGTCCCGGCAACCGATACAGCGCCAGCACTTGAGGATGCGCAGGCAGCAGGAGGTTGTTCCCTCAATTCAGCGAGCTGCATGTTGATCTCATTGACCCGCAAGACAAGCTTCATGAATTGCGCTTGCATGTCCCTCGGATAGGGGCCTTGGCTTTTATCATGAAGGTCCTTGACGCACCTGGCAATACGGGACAATTGAAGCTTAAACTCCTCCTGTCTCTGTGTATTCTCGTTGAGGGCTCCGGACACCCTATCACTGAACTGTTTCAGGTCGGTCGCAGGGACAAGGTGCTGAATGTACGTCTCAACGTTCCCACGGATGGTTCTTTCCCTTGAGATGGTTCCTTCAATGTCAATGACACTGCGAGAGTTCGCCTCAACTTCGTCTTTGATTCTTCGAATTTCAGCCTCAAGGGCCCCGATCTCGGAGAACCTAAGGAGCTGGACCTTAATGTTCTCGAGTGACTCGGCCTGCTCGCGAAGTTCAGCTGCAGATATGATAACCGAGTTGGACCTCTCGTCATACATCTTGAAGCGCTCATTTACCTCCTTCTCGCTTCGGGCGACCCATTCGTGGAAATCACGGAACTTGGCCTCGTGTCTCGAGAGCGTTCCGGCAACGGCAGAGAAAGATGATTCAACCTTCTTCTCGAAGGTGTCAACGCGGCTATTGATCTTCTTGATCTCACCAACGCAAACATTGATATCATCCCTACATGAACGAATCTCAGTTCTGCATCCCTGGATCTCGGCCTTACACCCCTTGACCTCGTTGTGAATCGCGAGAAGCAGTCGCTGAAGCTCAGAGGCAACAGGATGGCCATCACTTGTGGAGGCAGATAGGGCAGGACGACTATCAGCGTCATAAGCCCCGCGCCTATTTTCATTCCTGTCTGGAGTGCAGCCCGGAGTTCCGATTTGGAAGAATGCAGGGATGAGGGAGTTGTCGGCCGGTTGATTGGATGGAAGCCCTCCATTTCCAGGGGCAACGGTGCTAAGTTGCGGCCTCCGGTTCCTGGGCGTAGCGTTGATCCCGTCGTCAGTCTCTTTTTCAGACATCGGAGCATTGGAGCTGAGCCCAGATCCCGCGGAGTGGATGGGGACGTCAACGGGGTCATGATGAGCAGGGGGAATAGATCGTAGTCGGAGGGCAGCTTCACGCCTTTCGGGTGACTCAGAGCTCCTCTTTGTGGCTCGTGAGTCAGCGCCGGTTTGTCCCGGCATATGATCGAACGATGACGATCCGCGATGTTGAGCATGATCTGGATCAGGTTGAGTGAGATCAAGCCGTTGAGCAACGTCATCATTAAACGGCTTAGGGGAAAGCACTTTGGCAACGCGGCTCGGCGGGAGCGATGTCGTTCGTCTCTCTGGTGTGACCTCGGCCTCCTCGATTACATCAAGGATCCCAGGGATGGTCTCATCATCTTCATTTCCTCTCCTGGGTGGCTGATGGAAGGGAATGTCGAGAAGGTCGAAGGGAGTAGACCCAATACCAGGTGTATCCTGTTCGGATCCATCACTGGTACGGTGGCTGGACTGCTCCTCGAGGTCGATGATGTCAGGGGCGAACTTTTTCGGAGCCTGACGCCGATTGAAGGCCGCGAAGAGGCCGGCGTGGCTTCTCGACGAAGTGGATGAAGGATTTGGGCCTGCTGTTTCGCGGCCCGCGTCTGATCGACGAGTACCTGATGCTTGATTCGGCAGATTTGAGCCCGCGTTGTAGCGGCTCGCGTCCCGATCTTGAGTACCTGAGGAGAGCGGTGGATTTGGACCAGCGTTGTAGCGGTCCGCATCCCGGCCACGGGTGCCTGACAAGTGAGATGATACAGCATCTGGGATGAAGTCCATATCCGTCGGACTGAGATGATCGTGAACGATGTCGACATCAGATGAACCTGAAACGGGAGGAAGGCCAGCTATTTGCGGCCAATCCTCAATCGCTCGATCGCCCGCTTCGGGTTGGGCCGAACCTGCAACTTGAGAAGGGGAGAAATCTTCAATGGGGTCATTTTCTCCATCATGAGGAAAACCCTGATTATAGGCAGGGCGTCGAAAGACCTGTTAATTCGGGAAGGTTGGGAGGGTTGAGATCTCCAATCAGCATCAAAAAGGGATTGAATATCCAGATTCCCAACCGAGATGGGGACACCCGAATCGAAGTCGAGTCGACCGAAATCAGGCGGCATGGCCTGCGATCCACTCCCGAGGAGCCGGTCAAACTGATCCCATGTAAGGGACCAAGATTGAGCCGGCTCCGGATGAGCAGCAGGATGGGCAGCCTGGTCATCGATCTGAAGCGCCAACGGAGCAGTAGGCGAAATCGACGAGGGCACCTGATTTGGAGGAACCACAGCCTCTTCTAGAGGGGGTCCGTCCTCGATCTGGAGCACTGCCGCCGGGATAGGGGCCTCTGCGTCCTCATCAAACACGACCTGAGAAAGGATCCAATCGTCCGTGATCACCCCGGGATTGGGCTCTGCGCCCACCATCGGGGGAATGGGCCACAGCCGGCTGTCTAAGCCGGGGGCAGCTTGCGCGGCGTTGCCGCGAAGGGCGTTGGCCTCGTCGTCCACGAAGCCTGGCCCACGATGTGAAGCTCCAGGGGACGCCATTGTAAGTTGTTTACATGTAGGCGGGGGGGGGGGCAGGGTGCAAGTACGGGGTCACCGTCCCGCCAATCCGGATCAACCCTGGACCTATCCCCCTTCCTCCCCCCCCCCCACTCACCTCCTCCCCCCCTCTCTCACCCACCTTCGGCTCACACCCTCACCCCGCCCTTGTCTACCCCCCCTCCCCCTACCCTCCCGTCCCCCCATGAATGTAGACCCCCGTCTCCCCTGGAGTCTTCTGCCCCACTCCCCCCCCCCCCTCTGCTTTCCCCACCCTTTCCCCACAACCCACCCTCTCCTCCACCCCCTCCGCCACCCCTCCCACCCTCCCCTCTTTGGGGGGGTCTTTGCTCCAACTTCCTCCAAACCACTCCCCCCCCCCCCCCAAGCAGCAACTTTGAGAATCCATTGACATGCCTTGTCACTTGAAAGAACCCAATGCTTACCTCCACATTTGTTTGGCGAACACGAAGTAGCCCAGGGAATCAAAGAGGTACACGTGGTTCACGAAGTACCAAAAGAACCCAGTCCCAAAGCACAATGTAGAAGGTGCCGGTGACCAGATTGTGGGAGTGACAGTTAATGAAGATCAAGTTTGGGGAGGTTGGGAAATAGGTTGAAGAAGGGAAGTTTGTGCCCAAGCCCAGGACGATCACGCAGAGATCCTCCGCCCACCTCCCAGTGCCTCACCACGGCGACGCCAGGAGCCTTTTCTTGACGGCGAAGCAGTCAGCCGCACTATGGCTGGCGCAACAAGAATCCGTGACCCCCCTGACGGGAGGGCAAAACTTGAGCCAAACGGCCATTCGGCCGTTTTGCCGTATGAAGAAACAACACGTGAACAAAACACAGGAACAAATGGGGTGCGCTTTGACATGCAAAGCTCTCCTTTTTGCTGTAAATGTCGATCTTGGACGCAGCAATGGTCAACTCCTCTTCCGCTTTGATTGCCTGACAATCACTCAAACCCTCCATCTTTGTCATCGCCCTTCTGCAAACAGCTCCAAGACAGGATGAGCGAAATTCGGCTTGAGCCCTTTCAAGCGCGGGGCCTTCTTCAAGTCATCCACCTGACATCCACACGAAGCATGAAGCAGCATTTCCGAAGGCAACACAAAGCTGAGGCAGATCCTTCGCAAAGTGGCGCAGCTGAGGCGTGGGCATCTGAAACACTAGCAGTGATTTTGAACGCGCTGCCAACGGTCTCAGGCTTGCCGTCCTTGCAACGCACAAGCACTGCAATCCGGTTCAGTCGACCCTTTGACAGTTTGTCTTGGACATGAACGCAGGGCAGGCAAGACTGCACACAGCTGCTGGTAAGGCCCAGGCAGGGCTGCCCAGCTGACAGACCCACACCGCAGCGGATGGTTGCGAGGCGGCACTGCCTTGCAGGCGACAATCTGAGCAAGCAACGTGATGAGTGCGCCCGTTGGCTTTCATTGACCTTGAAACTGGTGAAAAATCAAAATCAAGCTTCAGATAGACCGTCGATACATTCAACTGGAAAGCAACAAGTACTTCCCATCCGAAGGCCACTGAACAAGAACAGCAAGAAATGATGTGGAGGGGAGTTGGTCTGACAGCGCCAAACGAAAAAACATGGTGTTTGAAATCAAAGAGGGGAAGCGGCGGTTGGAGGTTTACCATATATCAACATAGCGCGTTTGAGCTATTTCAGGCTTGCGCCTTGCCCTGCTCGGCGTGGGGCGCTTGGAACGCGACCAGTCTGCAAATACTCGTCGATGTCGACCGGTTTCCAACGCCCAAAGTCATCGGGAACTTGGGCCATGTTCAGAACCTCCTCGATGAGCTGCCCCTCCAACTGCTGCTCTTTGCCCCTCTCCAAGTACATTTTCGCCTGCTCTTGATCCCACCGGTAGACACGCTCTTCCTCGTGCTGCTGCGGTGCTTGCCGAGTCCGTGCTCCATTGAGGTCGGCAACCTGGTTGGCTGCTTCCGTGGATTGAACAACCACTATGAAGTGGTGGCCATGCGCAAATGCAGCTCGAATGAGGTCCATGAAAGTACTGCGCTCGATCCCGACGCCACCATCAAAGGTATTGTCGAAAATGATCTGCAAGCGGATGCCCTGCCTTTTCAGGAGAGGGAAAAGGGCCCAAGCAACATCTGTAGCTACTGCAGGGTCCGACACACGGAAAAAGTCCCGGACATTCTTAGCAAAATCCCCCTGCAACAAGACCTGAATTGCAAACTTTGAGGTCTGTCTTTGTACCGCTAGTGCTGTTGCCACTGATTTCCCAATTCCGGGTTCTGCGTGCACCACTGAGCAACCATTAGGTTTGCTGTCCTTCAAAACAGCTATCATAAGTTGCTCAAATGCAGTGTCCGTAATTGGCTGCTGTACTGAGGTGACGCGAGGAATGATTGGAGGTTTGACTGAATTGTTCCAAACCACGTAATTCACCTGCTGGAGCTTGTTGGCCAACTGCTCAGCATGAGCCCTGACCTCGCCACCCAGCTCCAAGAACCGAATGATGTCTGAAAATACTTCATGGCTCTTGTGAGGTACTCTGCCAAACTTGCACTCGCTGCAGCTGCCCCCACTCCAGCGAACGTGTCAGCCCTGACAATCACATGGTTCTTCATCGTAACACCCGCCTCTCTCCTTGCTCCAAGAAAGCCGAGAGAGAGAACTTGGCTGGTGAAATGGTTCACAGTCAGCAGAAAAAAAACCAGCTTCAGCCATTGGCGCTTCATGACATCCTAGAAGTACTGACATTGTTGCTCCATGCGTTTCTCCCATGCTGTTGGTCCGCGTTCTGCAATGATGCTCATTAGCACTGGCGCTGGTAGGCGTGATTTTTTGTCCGCTGCTGTTCAACTTCTCTGAGAGCCGCTCTCAACAAATAGCATCAAACACTTGTGCACAAGTTGCCTCAAAAGATCAAACTGGCAAGCCACGAGAGCAATCCTTCCCCCACACTTCTTCAAACGGCTTGTTACTGCATCCGCGCACTTTGGCACAGGGAGGAACGCCTCGGTGAAACAGCTGTTGACCAGCGCCGGCAACTGTTGCTGGTCCTGTACCCGTTGCAGGCATTCCCTGCTTGACTTGAACACCGCAGCCTGATGCTCAAAAGTGTGAACAGTGACCTCCCTTACCCTTCAGGAGTCAAGCAAAGTCGCACTGATCGAGACAAGTGTGCCTGCGGCTGCATGCTTTTGTCACTGCGCGAAGTGAAACGTGCCCCAGCATTGCCTCAGCCGAGAACAGTGACCACAGCCAGCAGTAGCCTGGCAACGCTGCAAGCTCACAAGTGTAGAAGACTGCTGCGCTGCTGAGGTGCCTCAAAATATGCGGCTCCACCAGCTCCCAGCTGGCAACATGAAGCCGTAACAGTCTGGCCTGACAGCTGGGCGACGGCACAACCCAAAGTTGAAAGGGTCCAGATTTAATTTAGGATTTTTCCCCGGTTTTAGGTTTTTTTTGTTGGATTCAAGGCCTGGGGGCTAAAATGCTGGTATTTACGTGGTTTGAAGTGGTTTCGAGCAGGGCCGGAGCGGAGCCGGAGCGGAGCCGGAGCGGAGCCGGAGCTGAGCCGGAGCGGAGCCGGAGCGGAGCCGGAGCGGAGCCGAAGGCGGAGCCGCAGGCGGAGCGCAGGCGAAGCGCAGGCGAAGCGCAGGGCAGGCGGAGCGGAGGCGGAACGGAAGCGGAGCGGAAGCGGAGACGTTCCATGATGTTGGGAAGTTCGATGATTCTTTTCATTTCAAAAGTGGCGGGAGGGTGGGGGGGGGGGGGGAAAAAATGGAGAAAAGGGGGGGCCTGGGGGAAAGAGGGAGGAGTGTAGGGGTTATTGGGTCAAATGTTGTTATCCAACGTTTTAACACCCTTGTTTGATTTCATCCTATATTTTGTTGTAGGGTGTTAGGGGTGGATTTTCTGGGGGCCGACATTTTTTTCATTTGAAAGAGTTAGCCCTTTTAGTAGTTATTATGTTCTGGGGTGTTGGTGGTTCATTTGTTTATTCCTATTCTTGTTCAAAGTCACTTGTTGTTTCCATGTAATCTCTCACAGTATCGTTATTGTTTTCTTGACCTTTCACTCTTAGTTGGTGCTTACTTGTTTGTTGGTGTTTTTTCATTCTGTATTTTCCTACCATGCATTTACAAAAAGGACATTCTACTTTTAATTGGTTATAGTCTTTCTGTTTTTCATTTATGTCTTCTTTGTTCTTTTCTCTATATTCTTTTGATTTTTGCTTTATTTCGTCTTTATGCTTTTCACGATAGTTCTTGTTCTTTTCCAGTATAGTGTCTTTGTTATTCTCTCTATATGTCTTTTTCTTCTCTACAATCTGCTCTTTGTTGTTTTCGTAATACTCCTTTGCCTTTTGTTGTATTTGTTCTTTGTGTGCTTCTCTATACCGTTGTTTGCTCTCCAAGCATACATTACATTGTTTTCTTCCCTCGTTGAACTTTTCTAACAATTGAAAGACTTTACATTTGGAACATTGCGTTTTGTCTGTCATTGGTCTCTATATGTTTAAGGGGTTATTACTTTAGATAAGTTTAAGGGGTGTTATAGGTTAAAAGTTCAGTATAATTATAACATATAATATTTTACATGTTATTATTATATTATGATTATAATTTCAGTTCAGGATAATAATCTAATTGGTTTGTCTTACTTCTTTCATACATCATTTTAAAAATAATATTAACATCTCTCAATGTATTTTGAATATTAAACTTTTTACTTTCAATAAATAATTTGATATTTTCTTTAACATCTTCTCCTTTCTCTTGACTATAACCCAACATCCATAATATATCATCAATCATTTCATATTTTTTCTTACTGATTTTAAGAAACTGTTTAACACAATCGTAAGGTGGTATTTTATTTACAGTTAGAAATATTAAAATATCATCTTCTACATTTCTATTATGTCTTCCTTTTATTCTCAACAGACATTTGATTAAAAATTGATTATCTCTCCATTCCTGACAATTTTCACATTCGTCTTTTTCATCCATTGAATAATTAATAATATTATTCACTATTTCATTAGGTAAACTCAATTTATACAATTCCATATTTTCTTTTTTGAAGTGACAACAATCATAGCATTTTTTATCGATATAATTATTGATTCCATCACCGTTCATTTTTCTCTTAATATATAAGGTAATATTTCTTTAAGTAGTTTTGGCTAGGGGTTGCTGGTCGGCTGGTCTGGGTTTCAGGTTTAATTTAAATGTCTTAACCTTCTTTTTAGATTATAAAACAATGTTTAATCATATTATAAGATAATAATATTAATAAACAAAAGTTAATTTGACCCGAATTCAATCTCACCAGCGATACAACCACTATAACAACTCATACTAGACTCACAACAATAATGCTCGTATCCTTTTATTAATTGGTCTATGTAAATTTCAATTAATTCGCTAAGAATATGTCTCAAATAATAATTGTTATTTCTATATGACCACGAACTGTTTAGGTTTGGAAAGCTAAACCTACAACGTTTAAATTGTTTTAAAGCTTCAATGTCAATACATTTTTTTAAAATGATACAAATCTCATATTCATTATTCTTACAGTATGATTTTAAAGCTTGATAATACATTTTTCTATTTTTAAACCGTTCTTTAACTTCTTGTATATCAAATACTCGGTCAATGTGTTTTCTGTAATGTCTTATTTTTATACTATATTGGTTTTCTGCTAGTAGAGTAAAAACATTATTTTGCATTAGTTTAATAACTTGTAATTGAAGTTCTGCTTTTTCCAGTCCTTCTTCAGGAATGTCTTTATTTCTCATAAAATGTTCTTCTTCATCTCTCAAATACCAACAATCAAAACATGTTGGTTTAATATAACCACCTATAAGATTACAAACATCAACAGGTAAAATATTAGCTAGTGCCACGACAGACTTACATTTGTTATTTTTACAAGGACAATTATCATAATTAAACAGTGTCATTTTTTTTCTCTTACTATATTATATCCATTTTTCTTTAAGTAGTTTTTTTTTATTTTATGTTGAGGGGTGGGGGCTTATATTGAAAAAATATTTTCTAACAATTTAATATAATGGCGAGATTAACAAAAGACCAAATAATCAGCAACATCTATTACGACTTAGACGAGGGTTTCGGAAGCACACAAGCGACACACAAGAAGGCAAAGGAAGAAGACCCAACAATAACATTAGACGATGTAAAGTCTTTCTTAAAGAAACAACCAAATAAACAAATCAAAAATTATAGAGGTACTAATTCCTATACCGCTCCATTCGCACGATATGAATATCAAATAGACATAATGCATATGTCACCTTTAGCAAAAGACAAGAACGTTCCACAGTATGCTTTAGTCGTGATTGTCATCTTCAGTAAATTAGCAGATGTAATACCGATGGAGGAAAGAGACGGAGAGCACGTTTTGAAGGCGTTGAGAGCAAGCTTTAAAAAGATGGGTTATCCGATGTCAGTGTATTCTGATGACGACGGAGCGTTTGCAACTAAAAATCAAGTTCAGGATTTCTTCAACAGTGAAGGAATAAACCACATCGTCACGAAGACCCACGCAAATGTGGCCGAGCGTTTTATTAGAACGATGAAAAACAAAATTCACGATAGAGTTAGGTTTAACAACATGAAATGGACCGACGCCCTAACGCCGGCATTGAAACAGTATAACAGCACATCTCACTCATCAACAAGGATGACACCGACTGAAGCACACAAGGACGACAATGAAATAAATGTAAAGGTCAATCTTAAACTACGAGAAAAAAACAAAAGAAAGTATCCCAGAATAGTGGAGAACGACAAGGTAAAAGTGTTTCAAAAGAAAAGGGGTAATTACACCGACAGAAAGGAGTATAACTCTAAATGGTCTAATAAAATATTCAATATCGATAGAATTGAATATGATATTATGGGTAATAAAACTTACAAAGTAGCAGGAATAAACAAACCGCTTTTGAGACACGAAATTTTGTTGGTTAATGATTAAACGTATTTCTTGGTGTCTTCTTTATACTTGACTTGATAGTAATCCAGACTTGATTGTTTAGGTTCTTTTATGATTTTTTCATTCAGTTTTTTAACATAAATGTTTCGTTTATTTTTGTATTCGCTACTGTCTCTATCTACTTCTTTTTCTTGGTAATTGTTATTGTTATTATATGTAGGTTTAATATTCATGCTCTTTAAGATGTTCAGTATGTTTTCATTTTGCTCCAACACTTTTTCTAATCTTGGAAACAACAACTCTAAACTACTGTCAATGTTCGCTAAATGTTCCTCCATATATACTAAATTATAAAACTAAACTTTTAAAACTAA